GTCAGAAACCTGTAATTAGAAGAGGGCAGAAGAAGCTGAGACTGCCTCTGGTTTGTGTGCAGAGCTCCCATTGTGTCAGTGAGAGCTGAACACATGGCTGAAGGTCAGTGTAGATGGTCTTGGGTCTTATGCTGATGTGATATATAGAGCAGTGTGGGACCCCTTTATTTATATATTTTTCATCCAACTCACAGTAAACCCCTTTCATTCCTCCTGGTTCATGACCTGGCCACAGTGATTCATGCGTTAGCCACTTCCACGTTGGGGTATTTTGACTCATGCTGTTTGGACCTCAGCATAGAATTCAGAAGGAAGCCACAGCAGGAGAAATGATAGGGCAGAGGTAAAACCATGGAACTGTGCCAGAAACACCGCTGAGAACTGATCACATCCCTTGTCAGCAGAGCATCCTGAGAGCTGGCAGAGAAGCACCTTCTGCCACTGGCTGAAGAACCCTAACTTCTTGTTATTTAAGGACTGAAGGACTCTGTATATTTTTTCTTATGGGAATTCCTCTTAATTTTGCAGCTGGATCAGTTAAGCGACTTAATCAAAATCACAGAGTAAGTCACTGACTCAATATAAATTTGGGCACAGCACAGGTCTGAAAAAAGAGCACATCTCCTGGAGAGAAGGAGCAAGTGGCCCAAAGAGCCAATAGAACTGTGGCTTTCACCTTATTGTTTGGCAGAGCTTAGTCTTTGAATCAGTGTGCACTTTCCTGTTCAAACTCTTGGACATCCCAGAGGTTTGGTTCTGAGGAACATCTGTCCTCAGTGGTGGATGCGTTCCAGATACCAGTGGGAGTGCTGAAATGGATTATCTGATGCCTTGTGAAAGAATGAAGCTCCCGGATGAGAGCTCCACATCCTATAGGCAGTTGTAGGTTCCTTAGTGAAGGTATTGCAAGCCTTGGAAGGGAGTTGAGTAGGTGTGGCTTGGGTTGTTCTCCAGTCTGCTGCTGCAAGTCCTGCAATACTGAGCTATTAAAGTCCTGACTACAACAGAGAGCTGTTTGTTACAGTGTATGCTGATATGTTGTTCCCCTCACTAGAGAAACAGGAGTGGTATGGATCTGGTGTTCCCAGAAATTTGGGGAATCACTGAATCTTTGCACTGTTTTGAGAGTGCCAGAAAATGGTTCCTACCAGGGATCTCTGTTCATGCTTTGATTGCAGAAGTGTTAGATTTCAAGCATTTGAAAGCAATATTGAGAGTCTGGAGGATTTTGTGTGAAGGTGGGCAAAGGAAGCGGTTATGACTGTTGCCATCTTGATGTTCCTTCCAGAAAATGCAAATGGTTGGGGATAGGAGGATTTTAGCAAAAGACAAATACAGAATGAAAAACAAGGCAGCTTAGCCAAAGGGATTGTCATTATTGAAAATAACTTCCACGTTGCAAAGCATTGTGTTATTTCTAAGGTTTGTGTTCAAAGCAGAGGGTTGGGCATCTTGATTTGTGAGGCGTGTTCCTGTTCCACCTCTGACTTTGGGTGTGTCTTCATGTGAGGAATTATGCTGCTTACACCTCAGTTTCCCTTCCTGCAGAGTGGAAAGAAAATAGCTAAAGCAATTTCGGGTTTGAGGAGCTTAAAACACTACTTTTGGAAAGCTCTTAGAAAATTTCCCTGATGGAAGTTGCTAGTTTAATGCAAGTGATGGTGATGTTGATAAAAAACAGATCACATCTGTTGTACTTGATGAAAATAGTACAGCAGCATTTCAGATGTAAATATTAATTGATTTCTGCACTGCAGATTTCTTCTTGGATATTTAAATTATTGCTAAGGAGGAGGGAAAGGCTATCAGAGAGATTAACAAATCCATTATTAAGGCTGGAAATGGAGGGTTGCCGAAGTGCCATTTAATAAAATGTAAAAAGCCCCTTTCTAAAGGGCGAAGCAGCAGAACACACAATGAAAGTGAATCACAGCTGCCAGAAGGGATGCCAAGCAGCAAGCACTTATAATCAGAAAACTGTACTTACAGATCATTCGGAGCCACTAAATTAAATGATCTCATTCTCCCCTAAAATACTCTTCTCTTAGCCCCTCCCCAGTGTTGCCTGTGGATTGCTCAACCACATTTAAAATCTGACTTTGGGGGCTTTTTGGTCAGCAGTTGAATGGCATTGGGCCTCTTCATGCTATTTACTTTCCACCCACTTTTGTTTCTGTCACACTCTGGCATTTTGCAGGCTGACCTGCCCACACAAGCACTTGGGATGGCAACTGCAAGATTTTATAGATCTGCTGTGGCTCCATGGTTTACTTGCCTCTTCTCTAGGGCTCCTTCTTTGGGGAAATGTCTCACAGTTTATTCCCAAATTTGTCTTTGTTTCACACAGATTTATTTTTTTTCTAATTGTACATTGTTTACTGCAGAAACAAAGACTTGGAAGCTGAGCTGAAGTGTAAATGCAAGAGCTTATCCTACATCATTTCACACAGAACTGATCCTGCTGTTACTTCATTCCAGGGCTGGTTTAATTCACCATGTATATCAAGGTCCCCCTCCTTCCTCCTCTCTTGTTTTGTATCTGTAACTTTACCTTCATGAGATGAGCATACCACTCTGATATGCTTCTACCCCTTCATTTTCCAGCCATGGCTTTCCCTATTTAATCCGTTGAGTGGCACCACATATCTCCCAATGTGCCAAAAGAAAAGCTAGTGGTAGAGGATGCTCACAAGGGCCTGTTTTGAAGGGATTTTGTGGCTTCATCATGAGTTTGAGGGGTTGGAGTTGCGGGGTTTGGGTTTTTTAATGTTTAGTATTGCTAATTCTGAGAGGCAAATGGCTTGCTGGTTTTGAAAGTAGGTTAAAGGAAGCACGGTTAGAGCTCAGATATGCTCTTGCATTAACCTCACTGTTGTGGAGATATCTGTGCACCTGTGTCCTTTTCCCTAATCCAAGACCTTATGAATAGTCCTTGAGACTGCTCAAGTTTGGAATTTTCCATGTGCTTTTAACAGTCTCCTCTATGGGCAGTTTCCAGTGTAGAAATATGAAGTGGGGAGAGAGAATACTTCGTTCCCTGAGTTCTCCCCTGGACAAAAGCCAGTCTTTACATGTGCTGTGGTCTGGCTGGGTGTAAGTGTATGAGTGGTGACTGTCCTGTCCGAGCAAGGGCTGGGACTGGCTTTCCCAGAATGAGGGAGGGATGTCCCTGGAAGTGTCCCAGCTTCCTTTATTTTTCAGCAATCCCACCGTAAGAGAAACAAAACAATTCAACCCCTAGAGATTCAGAGATGAAAAGGTCTGTGTTAAGAACTGAATAGTGGTATTATTTTTACCTCTATCAGCTGCAAGCCTGCAGTTTTCTGAGGAAACCTCAGAAATGGTGAATCAGCAACTCGTGTGTAGAGAAAAGTTAGCTACCCTGAATCCACTTTTTTCAGGCCTTCTCTAGTTGAGTGCTGCCAACTCTTGCACCTCCATCACGAGTCTCCTGATACTTTGTGCTCTGCCTAAAGCCCTTGCTACCAGACATAAACCATTGATTGAGAATCTCTGCTTTTTTTTGGGATTTTTTTCAAGACATTTTTCTGTCTCCCATTGTGATGGAGGAATATTGGCAAATGTAACCAGTCATGGTCTAAAGGTTCAGAAAATAACCCCAGTCAGAACTACAAAACAGTCTTCAGAGGGTTTCTAAGTCAGAATCAGTTGGAGATTCAGATATTTACTATGGGTGTTCTGATTCTGATCTTGAATGTTCTCTGAGTGCATCCTTTTTGAGTAAGTCAAATATTTTAGAGACTGGTATCATACAATTCTATATTGTCAGGTTTTTAAGCTCCATTCCAGCTAATGGTGAAGTTGGTAAAATTCAGGGTGATAGAACTCATCCAAGGGTTTGTACCTGCATGAAAATCAGAATGTAAATACATTATTAAAATTCTGAAAAGACTGATCATACTGAAAGGTGTGTGACAGCATTTGTTAAAATGTTGAAGTGGTCACTGTTGTGCCTTGTTAATGTGCTACTTCAAGTACAGTGAGTTTGCTGTCTATGGTATCTCTTGTCTATGCTCTTAAATCATCTGTGCACATTGAAAAATGGGTCATGCTACTCAGCATCTCATGGAAAACAATGTATCAGTCACTTCAGGTGGGAATTCCTGGCACCTTTTTTTTTAGTTACATCTCCTCAGGTGAGATGTGGAAAGTTTCCACACTGTGGCTTTGTTTTTTGTAGCCTCTCTCCTTTATCCTTGCCACAGCCCTGTCAGTTCCATGTGGGTGGGGATGGAGCCGTCGCCTGGAGGGCTGTGTCCAGTTCTGGGCTTCTCAGTTCAAGTGAGACGTGGAACTCCTCGAGCAGCTGCAGTGGAGGGCTACAAAGTTCATCAGGGGACTGGAGCGTCTCTCACGAGGAAAGGCTGAGGGAGCTGGGCCCGTTTAGCCTCAAGAAGAGATGACTGAGAGGGGGTCTAATCAATGTCTGTCTGTTTGAAGGGAGGTATCAGAGGCTGGACCCGGCTCTTTTCGGTGGTGCCCAGCAATGGGACAAGTGGTAATGGGCAGAAACTGATACACAGAAGTCCCACCTGAATATGAGGAACTGTGCAAGTAACTGAGCACTGGCGCAGATTGCCCAGAGAGGTTGTGGAGTCTCTCTCACTGGAGATATTCCAGAGCCATCTGGATACAATTCTGTACATGTGCTCTGGAAGTGACCCTGCTTGAGCAGTGAGGTTGAGCCACCGCGGTCCCTCCCAACGTGATCCACTGTGTGATCCTGTGACCTGACCGCCAGCACCTCAGGGTCTGGGTGGGCACGGAGCCATCTCCTCAGGCGTGGGGACACACAGCCGTCGCCCCGGGAGGGTCGTGCGTGTGTCGCTGCCCCCGACACGCTCCGGCGGTGCCTCGGTGCTCCCGGGAACTGCATTTCCCAGCCCGCCCCGCTCCGCTCCGCCCGCCCGTGAGCGCCGGGCAGAGGTAAACAAAGTGCTGCGAGGCGGCGGGCGGGGCGGCGGCCGGAGGGGCCGGTCCCGCCGCGGGGCTGCCGGGCTGAGGGGGCCGGGGCTGGGATCCTGGCAGGGCCCGGCGCGGGGGTGAATCGGGCTAGCCGCGGGGGCAGCGCTCGGCCGGGCGCTGGGGACGGGGCTGGGGCAGGAATAAGCTCTCGCCGCTTCCCGGCGGGAGCATCCCGGAGCGGGTCCTTCCTCCGGCATTTCCTCGCGTGTTCCCTTGCCGCCCCTCGCCCTCCCAGGAGAGCCGCCCCCGGGACGGTGTGACGAGGCCCGGGCTCTGGGCAGAGACGGCGATCCCCGCAGATCCCCACCGCAGCCGCCCCCGTGTCCAGCGGGGAAGCCGGGAGCGTGGGGCGGAGGGCGGCCCGGGGCTGCGGAGCCCCCCGGCCATGGAGCAGGTCCAGATGATCAACATCCAGCGGCTGCTGGAGGCGGCTGAGTATCTGGAGCGAAGGGAGAGAGGTAATGGGGGGAGGATGGGCTCCCTCCGTGAGGGGAACGGGTCTGGGGTCAGATCCCCACCGAGGGGGCAGAGTGACCCCGGAGAAGGGATCAGAGCGAGTGTTTGCTGGTGGGATGCTGGTAAATCCCCAGCAGTGAAGGGCTGGATGAAGGATAGGGCTGATGAGTCCTCCTGGAGATGGTGTGTGAGGTGGAAGGTTGTTGCAGAGTGGGGGGATTGACGTGGATGTGGTTTCTGGGAGGAAAAGGGGGGATTGGTGTGAAAGTTTTCCACTGGGCAGGAGGGATAGTGATGGGTGGCTCTGTCTCAGCAGAAATACATCTGGCTTGCCTGGTTCTTCAGATAGGTTGGGCAGGAGAGAGATGAGGCGCTCTCTGGACTGTCGTGGGTTTTTTTTAATATTTTCAGTGTTTGAGTGGTGGTGTCCTTCCTCCAGGGTTGGCAGAGACTTTATACTTCCCTTCTTTCCTTTTCTCCAACTTCCAGTCCACTTCCCTGTGAATATATCCTAAGTCATTTCCCTGAGCTGTTGTGGTTAAGGGCCTCCCCGGCTAGGCCAACGAGTTAGTGGTGAGGCCTGCCAGCTGACTTCTTTCCTTTTCTTTTTTTTCTCCTTTTCTTTCTTTTTTTCTTTCTTTTTTTTTTTTTTCCTGGTGTTGGCTTTTTGTTTGTTTGTTTCTCTTCTTTTTGTTTTTAATGCCTTGCCTGTTGATTCTCTTGCAGAGTGTGAACACGGCTATGCCTCAACCTTCCCCTCAGCTCCAAGCCCAGGACTACAAGACCCAAAGCCCACACGGAGGCTGAGCCGGGCACGGAAATACAGCGGCAGTGGCAGCATTGCCAGTATTGCCACCAGGTACGATGTGGGCAGGACAGCACAGGGAGCAGGGCTGGCTGCGGGGTTGGAGCTGCAGAATAAAGTTGGAGGCAGTGGGGAGAAACTTGCTCTCTTGGCAAAATGGGAAGAGACTGAACAGCTAGAGGGATTCAGAGCTGGGGCACACAAGTGCAGCGTCCATTCTGGATCCATTGCACTGGAAGTAGAGGGGACACAGGGGAGCTGGATCTGAAGTGGCACTGCCAGCTGACACCATGCCAAGTCTCAGATGCTGCAGAGGAAAGGGGAATAGGGAGATCTGTTCATAAGGTTTAGGGAGGAGGTAGGCAATAGCTATTCCCATTATATACAGCTGATGTCTTTCCAACCCAGAAATCACTGCTTTTAAGGGATAGTGCATGTGCAGCCTGGGCGCTTTGGGATTGTAATGACAGGCATGATTCGAAGCAAGGAAATGTTTTGAAATGGATCCCCTACAACAAATGGGAGAGAGGGAGATGACTGACTGTAATGTACAACATGTTAAAAATTCCGTTCAGGAAAACAAAGCTGTCTTTCAGTCTGTCTTTCAGGGCAGTGGGATTTCCCAGCTTTTGATAGCTTGGTAATTGTAGAACTCCATGTTTTTGACACTTTTCTTATTATACAATGTCATGTTTCTTGGTTTCTTAAATCTAGAAGAGACAGCAAGATTAAGCCTATCGCCTGGTGCTGTGGTTGCATCTGCCTCTTACTTCTCATTCCTGTTTCTTTTTATTTTTGTTTGCTACCTTCTGTAGATCTGTTCAAACCTTGTTGAGACCTTCTGGGATAGAGAAACTTTAGAAACATAAAGTATGTCTTTGAAAAGGCATTTGCAAGCTTGCTTTTGCTGCAGCAAGGCCTGTGCAATCCATAAAATGGTGGCAGGTGGCTCAGGTGATTAAGGCTTTCTTAGGGCTATTGGGAAGGACCTGTAAAGGCCTAAGGGAAAAGTGCCTTTGCTTGCACTGATTCTGCTTCCACAGCATTTGATAATAAAGGTTATTTGAAGTGATGTTAGGACACCTTGCTCTGGGGAAGTTTTCTTCATCAGGGTCAGCGTATCTTGAGCTCTTTGTATGCTGAATGTTTGTATTTGCTTCCCTACTTCATCCAGCCTCTCCTAATTTGAGGGCAGTTGTAGCTCTTTACTGTTTATCATGAACCAAAGCCCCCAGTCCTGTGACTTTGTGTAGGAAAATGATGGCAAATGCTGAATTGAGGTCGGTATTTTTCCCTCTAGGTTTCCCACATACTATTTTTCCATCCCACACCTCTTTGTCTCAAAGGCCTTTGTCATGGCAACCTGCCCTTCTCCAGAGGAGGGCTGGAAGCACATCCCCCTCAGGAACTCCTCAGCACTGAATCCAGCAGCCTGTAGGCTGGAGAAGGATGCAGGGCACTCCTGGTCCCTGGGGCCAGGGTGCTCAGCAGGCCCTGCCAGCACAGAGCCCCAGGCACAGTTCTCCCAGGGCAGCTCTGGTGCTGACACCAGCCTGCTGGGCCCTTGAGCCTGACAGGCTGAATATGTTCATGTGGGGAAAAAGGCAACAGAGAAGCAGAAAAGGTACTTTCTAGTCTTACTTAAACCTTCTTTGTACAAGGATTACTGAGGCCTAATTGAATCTTTAGAGTGAGAGTGTTCTTACCCAGAGTGTGTTGTTTCCCGTGGTTGTTTCAGCCTCAGGGACTGACCATATCAGGTCTGTTCCAGACTGGTCTCTGGCAGAGACCTGAGTGGGTCTTTTGGGGAGCTCAGACCTTACATGCACAGTTGGAAATGGAAGTTTCTTTTAGCACAAGTCGTAGCAGCTTGCACTTGCTGTTGGAGATGGCAGGCCTTCCAGATGGCTGAAGTGCCGGGAAGTGACAACTGTGAAGTTTAGGGTGCCTCCAAATTCACTGCAGTGTCTTTTGTGTGATGCTGAGTATAGCATCAGCCTTGTTTAAGAAAGGCTCTGTATCATCTCTTCCTGTTAAAATCAAAGGGGCAATTCAGTAAGTTCTGTCTGGTGGAGTTGGAATGGACTTTGAATTAAATATCAAGTCCTTGATGAGGAACAAAACTTACATTTCATGTGTGGACAAGAGATTTTCTTAGATTGCTTTTGTCTCAAAATGTTTCATTAGTGTAGAGAAATTATGCATTTAGATCTCACGCAGATCTTGTAATTGAACAGCCTCCTGTAAAAATGTCTCTCAAACAACCTTGGGAAAGTGACAGTGTTTTCCTTTTTTTTCTTTTATTTATACACTTTTACAAATTTGCGCATGTACATTGTTGATGGTATTTCTTTAACCAAATAATCCATTATTTTGTGGTGCAGGGTGTTTATGAAGCCTAGTTGCTTGTTTGATTCATAGTTTAAATCCAAATACTTCCCTTCAGCATTTGCAGCCCAGACATGACAGCTATTTCCTCCCAACTGGCTCTGTGCTGTCATTGCACAAACACCCAGAAAGTTCTGAGGAGCAGACAGGCAGTTCTGAATGGCAGTGGTGGAGCAAATCGTATTCTTATGGAACTATGGTGGTCTAACAGTTTCAGCAAAATAATTATTTTCTACCCGAAATAGGGGTGTGCAGATAAGAGGGAAAACATTGCTTCATAATTTCTAATTAATGTGATGCAATTTTAAAGAAGGATGTTGTGGCTCAGGTTCTCTTTTCTTTTGCTTGTCTCCATTGTGCAACCAACAGCATGGAGATTGCTGCAGAGGGCTTTGCTCTGCAGTCATTATCTGCATGAATGTGCAGTGTTTTGTGTAGATATTTGAAAGACCTAGTGAGTTTGAGATAAAACATGAACGTGTTTAAAAATACAGTTTTGCTTTAGTCACAGATATTTTGGTATGGAATATTATCCACCTGCAGAAAATAAGTGGAGAATCACAGTCATTGTTACTTGGTCTTTATAATAGACAAGAATCCTACTTAACATGTAGATAAAAGCAGAAACCCAAGCAAATTAAAAACCCAAATTAGCCAACATGTGTTACTTTTGAATTGAATATTGCCTCCTTAAATTTGCTCTTGACAAAAGAATCTTCTGTTTTTTGGAATGGGATGAAAATTGAGCAGAGGTTTGTTACAGCTTGGGGTATCACTTATTTAGTGTTACTTTCTTCAGAAGATGTTTCTGGGGCAGAACATAAGTTTTAAAAAGTTCTTAGAGAAGTGAAGTAGTCTGTGCTGGGAGTGCAGTTCTGTGGGTACATTAACTTGCACACAGTGGAAACTGTTCTCATGAACCCTACATGTGCAGTTCTAATAGACCCAATTGTTTGAAAGGTTCATTATAGTTAGGATTAGCCTGGTTTAATATTTATACATTTTGGAAAATAATTGAGAAGACTTTTTAATCAATTTAAATAATTGTGTCAGCAGGAAATAAAATAAACAGTAGGGCTGCTAAATTATTTTTCCCCCAGTAATACCATCAGCTTAATGAAGTTAAGATTTACCACAAAATCTGAAAATACGTTACAATATTAGATTGTCATTTGTGTTTTGTTTTTATTTAGGCTCTCAGGCATGTAGAAAGCCTGTTGTTTTTTGGTCTAATCCTGGGGAAATACCAAGCATCCTCCCAGCAGCACTGGGAGACCTCAGCTCTCCCAGGAGCCCCATGTTGTTAAAGGCTCTCAGAGAATCTATTGCTCAGTTCAATGGGGGAGGATTTGATCTCTGTCCAGTTTCTTTTTCCTTTCATTTTCCCCTCTTCCCATTATCCTCCCTTGTGTCTGGGGCTGCTTCCCAAGGGCCTTTCAGACACCTACAGTCTGGTAGCAAGTTGCTTACAGAGCTTGGAGTCAGCAGCTGTGATGAGTATGGTAAGGCATTTTGGACATGTTATCTTGGAAATCTGGGTGTCTGGGTTTCTTTGCCCTTCTGGCTGTTCTACTGGTGCAGCTCCTCATTTTCTCTGTCGTTGCACTCTCATCTACCCATATGAAACTTTTTTCCCACTTCTAAATCCCATCACTTGGTTTCGTGCTGGATCTTCTCTGTAGGCCTTTGCTCTCATAGCCTTTGAAACTCTCTCTTGAGGGTTCATAGGGAGACTGTACTGCTGAAACCCCCAGGTATTCTTGGCTTTAAGCTTGGTTTGCTCACGGTGGCCCAGAGCAGGGACTGGGAGGGGTGTGTAGGTGTGCATTAGGTACTCCATGTGCCTTAGGTGATGGCTTCATGTGGCACAGGTTCAGAAACACAGAAGCTCAAGAAGGCACAGAAGCTCAAAGGATGTGGCTGCAGGTGAATCTGTAATTCAGCCTTGGGTGTCTGGTGCACAAGAAAGATGATTTACCACAGTGCAGCTGTACCTCACTGTGCAGGGGAGGAGTAGGAGGGTTGGTGAACACTGCAGTTTTAATATATTATATGTTTTCTGTCAAAGGAGGTTTCCGCCCTCTGCCCCCCACATCGTGCTGCTGACTGAGTTCTGGCAATTTTCACTCCTTCCCAGAGCCTCTGGAGTTAGGATAGTGCTGTAATTATGATTTTATTGGGAGAGAGGGTATGCAGGTGGCTGAATGGTTTGCCTGTCTTGTGTAAGGAATTCCTGAAAGAGCAAATTGCTGTGTCAACTCTTGTTCTATTTTTCTGCACAAAGCCCCTATCCCTGTCTTCATGTCCCAGAGACCTGGTCTCTGAGACTTTCTGTCCACAGCTTTCCTGCTTCCTAGGCTCTACCAGTTACTTGTTTCTAGATGATACTTTGTTTATTTGCTTGTGAGGTTTTTTGGATTTCTTTTTCATCCTCTTGCACTGGATCACACCTCTCTCCACAGCTAGTGGGAGTTGAGTTTTGACTCGCTGTGTGTAGGTGGGTTAGAATCTGGCCCTTGTGTAATATGGGGGCGATAGAGGCTGCTTTCTGCCTCAAGCCTTGTAGTGAAGCACTATTCATGGCTCAGGACCTGGCTTTGCTTCATAGAGTACAAATCCACACGTGTAAAACAGAGAACGTATGAGATCTGCTGTGCCATGTTTTG